CAGCACTTCGGTGGTTTTAATTGGGTTTGTAGAACAGAAAGGGAGACGTAATTTAAATCTAAAGAAACGGTCAATCAAGGAAAATTTTCATATCAAAAAATCAGAAAATAAATCCAAAGATTTGCTCCCACTTTCTCTAAAGACAACATGTTCTAAAAGTTTCTATAAAAACTGAAAATATAAAAATATATTTTCACAACTGTTCAGGTTCAGTAAGCGAGGCTGGTTCTCAAGTCTTCTCGATTATTACATGCACTGTGCGAGTGAAGGTGTGCCGGATCCTTTTTTTTTGTTTTTTTGTTTTTTTTACAATGGAAAAGTGCAATAAAATAAACTCAGGTCTGTACAACTCCCATTACTGCTGAAGTTTTCATTTAAGGGATTGTGACTTCAACCTTTACAGTAACTAACAATGTGTGCAGGCACAAGCTAACAGCTATAATAAGAACATAACAAAATGGAAATGTATTCCTTAAACACAGTTTGATTGCAGGAAGCTGCAGGCTTATCAAAAGGGTGGGTCTGTTTTTGTAAATTGCCCAGACGGATTTGTTTACTTGGTTTACAATTTCAAGAACAACCAAAAAAAAAAAATCAAAATATAAAATTCACATACACCTGTGGATAAAGGGCACAGCTCAATTGTAAACTGAGATAGATTCTTTTCAAAATAGCCACAAGTGATTTAAAATCACTTATTTTGTTTAGGAATGAAAGTAACAACAGATATAAGATCTTCGCAGGAGCCCGCATGGGAACATGAGCAAACTCAGAGGCACTTCATGGGTAATTTGTATCATCAGTCAGTTGTTTCTTTCCCATCACAACATACTGTTGAATACAGTACATGAAAAAAAAAAGTTATCTGAGAAGATCCCATAAACAAAAAAAAGCACGCCCATCCTTATTTTTACATTAAACATTTATATAAAATAGAGTGCAAACTGTTTTCTTGTGCTACTCATATTTTCTTGCAGCCGACATAATTTCGGCTTCGCTGTCTGCACTTTAAAATAAATATATCTATATTAGTCTCACTTTGAATCACTTTGAAGGGAATACAGCTTATTTTACGATTGTGATATGTTCATCGATGAACCGATGGGCTTCACTTCTTCAGCCTGTGAATAAACACTTTTAACAGTTGGCTTCTTCTTGCCTGCTGCCACATAAGTAACACAAATAAAAATCAGTCTTTATCGATACAACTCCATCTACAGAGAGTGCTGCAGAACACGATCAGTAAGGAAAATAACTAAATAAATGAGGTAAATGCCAGACCTTATGACCCTTAATACAACTGATTGGCTGATGGTGTGATTCAGTTTCATGGATTTAGGTTTATGGCTTTAAAGTTGTAAAAGAATTTGGTCCCACTATTTATATTAGGTGCTGAAAGGACTGAACTTCAACCACAGGGCGGATAATTACATCTGCAGCGGTAAACTACTGATGTGGTGGGTGAACTTCATAAAAACAAGTAATACCTGCTTGCAGATCCACAGTACCAAACAGTGATGTTTCATTTTGACATGAAAACCTTTGTGAAAACTCCGACACACTAATAAAACCTTGTGTATCAGAAATCCATTTTTACTTCTTTCCTAACTCACAAATCAAAGAATGTATTCTGCCATCCCCAGGTACAGAGTCACTGCTTTCAGTGGAGTTTAAACTGACGTAAAGGTGAAGAAATAAATGGCTGAATTTTTACTTGAAGTGATTCAAACCTTTAAAATGAGGGCCCAGATAGGCTAAAGGTGTGATAGTCTGTCTTTGGGGGAGAATTAAAAACAACAGCTCCTCAAATTTGTGATTCTCCGGTGTGCTGCCCACTTCGAGAACCCTACAGAAAGACAAACCACATCGTCAGAAACAGAGCAATTATTCAACCAAAATAGCAATTAAAAAATACAAAATTAGAATTAAAAGTCTGGTATATTGGTTGCTTTATACTTCTAGTCCACAACAAATCACAGGGAGTACTATACTTTTTACTCCTTTATTTGACAGCTGTTATTAGACACAGTACTTCAGATTTTACATAAAAATAAAAAATGATATTTTTATAAAATGCTGTGCAGTGTTAAATTGAAAAACACTAAACAAATGGATTCATGGCAATTGGACTTAGGTTTGAGCTCTGGAACATTTATCTTGTTGTCTTTAAATCATTTCTGTATAGTTCTGGCTGTAGTCTATGTTGTATGTCTTGCTAGAAAATAAATCTTACAGGTAGTCTTACAGCTTATTTGCAGAGTGCACCAAGATTTCTGTATGCTTTGCTGCATTAAATTGGCTTTTCAAGCCCTCCAGGGCCTGCTGCCAAAAAGCATCCCCACATCATGATGCTGCCACCCCCATGCTGCCCAGTGGGAATGGTGTGTCTGTGATGTCATATTCCTTACATTTCTTCATTATAGAGTTAACTGTACTCAAAAGGATATTCAGTGACTTAGACATTTTCTTTTATCCGTCCCCTGACGTATGCGTTTAAATAACCTTTCCATGGAGTTGCTTGATGTGCTCTTTGGCCGTCGTGCTGTAGTTATAGCCAGGAGCACTGATTCACCAGTGACTGGACCTTCCTGGTTCAGGTGTCTTTATACTGGTCACTTGGGACACATTCACTTCACTCAAATGATCTCCATTCTACTAATTGTGTGTCTTCTAGCAACAACTGGGTGCACCTGTGTTTAATTATGTGAGTCACTTTCAACAGGGTGAATTGTGCAATCACTTATTTTACATTTCAGATTTTTAACTAATTGACATTTTTATTTATTTATTTTTTATTTATTGATATTTTATTTTATTATTACTTTTGCAGAATTTAGTTTTCAGTTTGACATGAAAAAGTCTTTTTTTTTGTCAATCCTTGCCCTAAAAGCCAAATAAAAGGAGAGAATAGTATTTATAGTCACTGTATATTATTTTTATTTAAGAAAAGAATATTTCTTCAATAGCTGTACTGGAATGAAGCTTTTGGTGCATTAATATTTAAAACTACTCAGGACTTTTGTGGTCTTTGGGACCCCAGGCCACTTTGGTTTTGGTGACAGGTATTGTTTTTTTTATTTTTTGAAGAATTTATATATTTATATATATAAAGAGGGACATTTGTCATGCATTTGGAACCAAAAATACATCAACTTATCAGAAAATGTATTTAACATAATATAAACGTCTATAATGAACACCAACAAATATTTTGCACATATTCTTTCTTAGGGTCCCCAAAAGACCTTCTACGTATGGCAACATGAAAGTCCTGAATCGGGTTAAGCAGTATTTTAATGATGCAACTGCTCAAGAATAAGCTCATATATAATACTTCATACACTGTTGATCTTTTGTCAGCAAAACACAGATTCTTGATTAAAAATTATAATCTGCACAGCAACCAGTCACTACAGATGTCAAATAAATGTAGCGGAATAAAAAGTACATTCCAAAATTGTACACAAGTGTTGTGGTTGAGTCAGTGTTCTCAGTTACTTCTCACCACTGTGTGCTTGTGACACAGACGGTGAAAATGTTGATGGGTAATATCGCTTCGTGCTTACCTGCGACTGACTGCTGGAGGGATTGGTGGTGCTGAAGTCCGAGTATCTCTTTTTCTGTGGCGTGCAGATACAAGAGAGGAAATGGGCGTACTCGTCTCTCACCTGCAGAGGGCATCAGAACATCAGGAAATAAAATCCGCAGCTGCCAACTCTGACAGTGGTGCAATCTAAGACCTTTGCCGTCACATTTTCCCTTTCGGTTGATTTTTTTCTTTCTTTCTTTTAATCTATTGTGTTAATGTCCACGCCGAGCTTCACACTTACACAAGACTAACATATCCTACCTGTTTAGACAGCAGGCAGTGCATGATGAAGACCAGTGCACCCTGTAGGCTGTTGAGGATCGTGAAGATGTATGCCACTGCTGCTGGTCCCTCTTGAAACAAGAAGGCCCCAAACACCCACATCAGACCCAGGATGCACATCTGGGCTATAGCTGTCACTGTGAACGCTCTGTAGAATGAAAAAGGAGGATGGGACGTAAAGGTCAGTGAAAGAGAAACACACACAGAGAGATTATCCATGGATGACTCAGTTACCACTGCGCTATCTGGAAAACCCCTCAAGAGTGAAAGGAAAGAAAATAGGTTGTGATGACTGAAAAACGTCACAAAACAGACATTTCTTTATCAGTTTACGGTCAAATGAAAGCTTGTGGGGGAAGACAAGCCAAAGGCAACTGATGAATATAAAAGATTAGCATAAAGGAGGCCCAGTATTTCAATAACTGTCTCTGCCAAAAACCCTCTGCATGGGCCCTTTGTACGAGTCACTGATGTGTCCTTATTTTTCCAGTGAAAAAGAAGATCAGGTTTTGATTTCAATCCCTCAGAATCAGCGAGGGCTTCTTTCACCAACTTGCCCATGAGTCATTAATCAAACAAGAAGACCCGAAATGTGGATAGGGTACACGTTTTTCCACTGACAAAAAACCACACAAACATTTGAATTATAATTTAAAGCTTTCTGAGTTTTTCCTCGACTGAATAAACTCCTTTCTTGCTTGCTTTTTTTTTTTTTTTTTTTTTTTGCACAACAAGTTTTAAGTTTCGCAATTCCTTGGACTAAATTACACGTCACTGATTGATGAGTCAGCGCATCCAAAGAGAGATGCTTTTTCATTTTGGCTCAGATGTGTTTTGCAGCTGCACATTTTTAAACAGAGAGAAGTAAAATAAAAATCAAAGACCAAACTTGCAGATAGACAGGGTTTGGGGGGGTAAAGCCCCTCAAGTAGCAGCCCATCAGAGAGCAAAGTGCATATTATGAAAACATTCCCTACATTTTTCCGTTCACAAAACTCCCACATTCTTTCCATCAAAGCATTTCTCAATGCTGCCCTACTGAATCTATATATGTTTTATCTTGGCGTCTGGTTGCGCAGCGGAGAAAGTAACGTTGCTAAAGACATTACAACAGCAGCAAAAATCCACACAGTTTCACACACATTCAAATAAACACAGACTGACTTGATTTTGTGCAGTTTGGAGAGGTCTGGGTTGAGGCTGGTGAACTTCTGGGCGAGTTTCCAGACAGTGACGATGAAGAAAAAGACATTCAGGAAAATGATGAAGCACACGGGGCCGTAGAAGCTCCAGATGAGGCCGTCTTTCAGGGATAGCCAGCAGCTGCAGATGGGAGGAAGGAAACACATGTTCATGACAGAGTGTCCATTACGCCATGGAGATAGATAACGGCAAGTGTGTCTAATCCACTCCCACTATGATGCAAGCAAGTGTGCACTCACATACGCACAGAAACGCGCACTTGTGTCTCTCATTTGCGCTCTTTAACACAACAAACAAGCAGTTTCCGCATAGTTCCCCCTTTAGTCACACACTTACTACTCGTTAGTGCCGTATCTCGTTGGTCTAATGATGCCAGACAGAGTGACGATAACAAGAGGTGCCCCGTAACCCGTGATATACAGGTAGAGAGGCCGGATGGTGGCGTTGAACACTAGGACAACCATGCGGTACAGCTGCACCCCTTCTAACAGCATCCAGGTGAAAACGCCCAAGAAGAAGAAGTGAAGCATCGCTGCAACAAACCTGCATCCGGCCTGTATGGAGAAAGAACAGATTAAAGATGAATGAGTGCTCTGTCATTGCATTTAAAGCAGTAAAATGGTTAAAAAAAAAAAATAGGGTTCTGAGTTGAAACTAGTCACACAAATATACAGTTTTGATCATCTGGATAAGATTACTACTTGAAATAAGACCAGTGGAGGAAGAGGTAGAACTGCCTTTTAGTCTAGTAAAAGTAGAAATACCAATATATGTGAAAGTCCTGCTTTCCAAATCTTTAGGTCAAAACCAAAATCTCACGACATACTTTTGGTGTAAAAGTAACTGCTGCATTTAATTTCAAAAGTAGCATAAAGTAGAAATAATTGAGTAAAGCACAAGTTCCCCAAACTGTACCGCTCATTAAGAAATGTTGGGTATTCCGAGACGCTTAAGTAGAAAGCAACTGGACTTCTCTTTTAGGTTCTTGAAGAGGATTCTTTCAGAAGAACTGTAGAAGCCTCTTGGATGAGAGATGAAATGTCTTCAAGAACCTTAAAAGAGAGGTCCAATTGCTTTCTACTGAAGCTTCTAGGAATACCATGACCTAGATGATTGAGAATCTCCAGACATAAGGGATGTTACCATTTTATTTCATTTTGGAGTGTCCTCATCCAATGCCAAGCTTCTCTTCTCTCATTTTGTGATTTCCTGCTTCATCGTGAGCATACTCAAGTGTACTATTTATGAAAAACGAAACTTTTTTCCCCCCTTTTTGTGCCTCAGGAAAACCACAAGGGTGTTCTGCTGCAGCGTGGCAGGAAGATGGGGTTTGAGGTTTATTACTGCAGGAATGCTCTGATGTTACTCTGAAGAAGACTGTGCTTTGTAGCATCTACACGAGAAGATGAGTGTCATGTGATGTAATTACATGTTAAATGTGGTTTATTTAGAGGTATGGGCCTTTCCCTACGCTGGCACATGATGTTGCCGTGCGTGCAAATGCAGTTAACAAATAAAGGCTACCAGTCAGCTTCAAGTCCAGCTATCTCCAGCGGGTCAACGCAGTGTAAACATCCAATTACATTTTTATTCACTGCATTCCGTGTAACTGAAGTCACGGTTTGTTTTTACGTACTTCAGGTTTAGTTTGTGAAATGCCAGCCAGGAAGATGAGATCAGCAAAGAAGAGGCAGATGCAGAGGTGCAGGTGGATGGTGGTGCGAGTCCCTTGTATGGATCGGCAGAACATGAACGTCAGGATGCAGAATATCAGACACAGCAGGGAGATGGTCAGCCCGATCTTGGTCACCAGCAAGAGCCCAAAGGTGTGCTGGAAGAGAAGACATGATGTGAGTAACTGGAAACCGTTCTGGATTTCTAGAGAACAAGAGATGGAAGTTTAATATCCATCATACTTTCATTGGTACACTTAAGAAACAAAGACTTTTTTTTTACATGGCTGCAAACCCAAATGTTAATGTTACATGCAGTAAAACCAACGTATTCAGCTGAAACGCTTTAAAAGCTCAGTGGCTGGTAGAAATTTTCTTCTCGTGTTTTAATAGAATATTAGTATTAAATAATGCATGTAGTAAATTAATACTAATATTTGTTAGAACAGGTTTCATGTGCGTCTTTAGTCTGCGGCTGTGTCAATATGCCGTGGTTTTTGGGTTTTGGTTTTGTTTCCTGTTTAGTTCCTGTTTTATTTTGAATTCCCCTCCTCGTGTGTTGCTTGTGTTTTCACTTCCTCCCCTTGTCCCTGTTTCCCTCTTCGTTTGATGGCCCTGATGAGTTTCATCTGTGTCTTGCTTCCCCAATAAACCTTATTACCTGTCTGCTCATCTGTTTTGGTAGTTTTTAGATTTGTTCAGTCAAGTATGTTATCTAGATGTCACACTTCAGACTTTTAGTTTGCTTTTTTCTTGGACCTACCAGCCTGCGTTTGTTTCTTTATCCGTCAGCCTTTGATAACAAGGTTTTTATTAAATTTTTGTCTCTGTCTGCCTGCCTTCAGGGTTTGCACCTGGATCCTCACCTAATAATCTCCTGACCCGCGAAAAACATTCATTTCTTTGGCAGTCAAAGCCAAAAAGCAATTTTTTTGTGAAGTTTTGCAACACTAATATGTTTGCATAAGAGACTAATAGACTTAATGTGTTGGAGACATTTTATTACATTTTTTTTTGGTTTCCATTTAGGTGTGTTTATCTGTTTCTTACCTCCATGGGGTAAAGGGCCATGAGCACAGCAAAGCTGCTCAGATGTTTACACGTACAAGAAGTGTGTGTGGCATTAGAGTACTCTGGTGAGCAACCATCTGTGGACCAGACTCCTTTTTCATTCCAGTATGCGCAGATGTAGCGCAGCCGAGGGGACTCCGCTTCATCCTAAATCAAAACCAATGCAACAAAGATGGGCTGTTACTCGAAAATGATCGAAAGAAATGACACATCGGTTAAATTTGGACCACTGTCAAAGAACTGCGTGGGCCTACCTCTAGATGTCTGAGGGTGATTTTAACAGGGTGATTCAGTTTCTGAGTGGACGGGTTGGAGACCACAACAGATACAACTTTAGAGGAGACCTGGAAGGACGGCTCCATACCATCTTTTTGATATTCTTTGAAATCCTCAAAAGACTCGTTCATGGATTGCTCAAGGTTTTTGTAGGTCAACAATGCGGCCAGAGCAAAACCTGTAAGAGACACTCGGACCATGATTATATTATAGAGGAAAAAATTACTTTTTTTTGTCAGAAGAGAAAAGAAGTTTACCGGGGTATGTTCCTGTCCCAGCTGCTGTCGTCCAGTCGGTGTCGAGGCTAGCGTTTTCATTGATCAGACGGATTGGTCCAGTTGGTCGGGTCTTTCCTCTTTGAACAGCAATCTCTACATCTATTCAAGAAAATAACAAATGGTAAACTTCCTTTGCATGGTTAATGTTTCATTGTCATTCAGGAAATAGAGCTTTTGAGCTGTTTTCAGATCACAAAATGAGCTCATGGATTGAATTTTGTTACCAGTCTCTGTGGTCTCCATCTTGGTGTGGTTGCCTTTGAGCTGAGGACCGATGAGCAAAATAGAGTTCTCCATTGTGCCGAGCAACTCGCTCACACCGTCGCTGCTGTTCAGTTGTCTGGGAGACAGCATCACCTCAGTGGCCGTGAAAAGTTTCTGTCCAAGATGCAGGACAGGAGGGACATTGAGAACACTACCTGCATTTGCATTTGGTGTTAAAATGTGTGCGTGTTTTGTGGCTTTTTGCTGACCTCCAGTAGCGCCTCTCCATCAACCTTCCCTACACCAGCAGAGCTTGGGTTAGACAGACTCAAACAGCTGTTTCTCATCATGGACAAAATGTCTGCCAGGCCTGCGAGCGACTAGGAGAAAAAGAGACACGGAGAATAATGAGACTATTCAGCTCGTCCTGTAGCGAGGTTCATGTATACTAAACCCTGCAGGGTCACAGACTGGTACTAGAAATAGAGAAAAAGAGCTGAAATGTTCTTTAGCAAAAAAATTGGACTCTGGATTAAAGACAACTTGAAGATAAATACTCTGCTGGAACTTATATTTTTTCTGTATCTATATGTGGTGCAGGATTATGCAAATAGTTTTGCATCTAAACTTACTTGTGCAGCTTCATCGTCGCCACCGAAGCTGTTACAGTCAAGCTCTAGGTGACACAAAGCGCAACATGAAACTGTTATGACACCAGATTCATTGAAAGGAGAAGAGTGTGGTAAAATCTTCACAGGAAAGCAACAGTGCCAACTTGTATCTGATCAACATAGTGAGACACAGACCACTGGCTGTGTGGAAACGGATCAGTCGACGCAGAAAGTACAGAACGTGTAGCAAGCAAAATTACAATGATGAGATTTAGAAGATAAACAGGTGCCAATAGCTGTTATGATGTGTGAATTACATTCGTGCGTTTAGAAGGTTATGCAATGAAGCTGTGAACCTCTAGTTCTTTCAGATAAGAATTATGAGGAAATAAAGCCATGAAATGCACACTTTATCTGAAACAAGCAAAGGTAATGGAGGGAAACAGCACGTGCACAAACTCACCTGAGCACGGCGTCCTTTTGTTGCCGTAATTGGTGTATCCTTCTTGGCAAATGCACCAATAACTCCCAAGAACATTATGACAAGTTCCTTTCTTTCCACAGATGTCTTCGTTGTTATCTTTCGCGATCTTGCATTCATTTATATCTGCGTGAGGACAGAAAGATAAATGATCATTGCTCGGACGATGACTTTGGTGACACAGGCGTAAACACATCTTAATATAGAAAGGTATTGCCCGGGCCCACAAGGGAACAAACATCTCCACAGTGTAAGTAGTAGCAGCACGGTCGTGTGAGTTTTTCAGTGCTGGCAAAAAGATCTTAGAGGTTTTTCTGAGCTTTCCTGGCAAACAGTGTCGTGAGTTGTTGTCTTGCCATTTCAGGATAGTTAAAAGCTACAATTAAAACTTAGCAGGAGGCGGGAGATGGCTTTGTGGTTTAGGTCAGATATAATCACGATGACGCAGAAGAATGTGTGACCTTTGTGCGACCAGCACAGGACAAGCAGATTATAACATAGGAATAGGTCATTTCAATAAACCGCTTTTATTTGGTGCAAAATCCCGAAGATTGTTGTCAGAGCGGCTGTTCCCATTACGCACTGACGTCATCAATACAATTTATTTATGTAACAAAACACAACAACAACAAAAAAACAACACAATCCCTATTCCTCTTCTAAACTTATTAGCAATAAACTGCACCGGCGCTCTTGGCGGTTCTGCTACGGCAGCTTTACTTGGTACCGTCTGGTGTATCAGTAGTTTGTAAGCAAATCTCAGTGAAATTTACCTGCATAACAGAGTCAGTTCATATTTTTAAGTCTTATCTATTTGTGCTATTGCTGTGCTGGTTGTAGCGTTAAATGTAAAGGTTTCTATAATTTATATAAACTGTATGACTTGATGTTTGAGCATCTCTTAAAGTTTTGTTCAGAACAGTTTTGTATGAGCAAGGGCAGGTTAGAAGTGGTAAAACTGTGACAGAAGGTATGATGGATTTCTATCGACTGAACAAAACAAATTAATTTGAAAACACAGTGAATCCTTGGATTTGTTGCATTTTTGTGTATTTTCTGTAGGGTTGCCACTAAAGCTCAAAATTAGTATCATTCATTAATGATTACTATGGAATCTTAGCTGTAATATTCATTCGCGTCAGGTAAAGTTTCATTTTATATAACTTTTTTAGGGTTTTGATCTTTAACATGTAAATTACTCCATTACATTCACACCAAAAACAACACTGTAGGGTGTTGATAGCGATATTTAAACTTGTCAATTCATCAAGTCGATCATATTTTTAACCTGCGAAGCACTTTGTCGGTATGGCTACTGTCTGGCTACTGCTTCTTTTCGTGTGTGCTTCTGTTGTTGGGGATAACACTTGTATCTTTTCATGCTTTCATGGTGATGTGCTTCCTTGTTCACAATGAAAATTACACTGTACTCATCCAATATCTTGACATTTTTTTTACAGTATTGTTAACCTGCTATTCATTCCGACAAGGCATATTGAATTCATAACTGACTTGTTTGATAAAAAGCTGTCATGTATAATATGAAAAACAAGAGCTTAACACAGAAGTTCCAACTCAACACATCAGACCCCGCTTATTACCAACTGGAGGGGCCATAAGTTCACTTTTAATACTTTTCCACACTAAAAAGAAGCATCATTGCTCACCTTCGCATTGTCCAGGGCTGCTGCTGTTACTGATGTTGATGTACCCAACGTGGCAGGTGCAGTAGTAGCTCCCGATCAGGTTAGTGCAGTAAGCCCTGTTGCCACAGATGTTGTCGCTCTCGTTACACTCGTTGTCATCTGACCGGAGAAAGGGACCACAATGGTAAAAAAATGACTGGAGAGACACATTTTTCTGGTCCCACACGGACACGCACTTACCTTGGCACTGTCCATCCACTCCCGTAAAGTTTACGCCCCCACGATTGTTTCTGAACCCAGGGAGGCACTGACAGTAGTAGCTGCCTTTCGTGTTGAAGCAATTTGTGTTTTCCCCACATGGAAGTGGGTATTCTACACACTCATCCATATCTGTAGATTTGAATGCAAAAAACAGAAAGAGATCAATACTTCTAAATACAGAATATTGTCTGTGTCAGTGTTTTTTTTAGTCTTTGTCTAGTGCTTAGGTTTTCTTTGAGCTCTTCTGTCCACCTTTGAGCACTGCTCAGCCTCCTGTATTGCTTTAGCTGGCTGCTACCAATTGCAGTGATCTAACAATTTAAACTTCTTCCACTGTTGTTTTCATTGTAATCCGCTCTGGATTCAAGCTAAAATGCCTAAAATGGAAAAACGATGGGGAATGTCATCAAAAAAGGTTGTTTTTTTTCTGGTGAACTTCAGCAAGCAGCATTGCATTGCGTAACTGGAACACCATTAGTATCTGAGAGTTCTTGTCTCGAGCTTTGGTGGACAGAAACAAGACGGTACAGGGGCATATTTAAAATGATTGGACATGGCTGACTTACCCAAACATATATCATCATCACCTCGGACGTAGCCAAATTGACATTCAGATACACATTTTCCCAGCAGACACGCTAATCCTGCAGACAAAGAGAGAAAGAGCAAGTAGCTTGATATCAGTTCCATTATTTACAATCTTAATGAGGCTTTTTAAACATTATTGAATGAATTAGATCCTAATGGGACCCTGTTATGGATCATTCTTAAAGGGACATGTGAACAGACTAAATGACTTTTCATTGGCCACTTGATAGATGATGAGGAAACCTAAGCTTGAAACCCTGTGAACAGGACCCCCACAACAAAGGTACTAACCGGAATCTAAAAGGGTTCTTTATGTTGATGCCATAGAAGAACCATTTTTAGTTCCACAAAGAATCTTTTGGCAAGATGTTCTTAAATGAGCACTCTCTGGAAACAGTTCTTTAAAGAAGTCCCTGAAGGTGTTTCAAAGAACCATGAAAGAAAGGTTCCTTTAGGCACCGTAAGTGGCTCCAAAATACTTCTATGCAAGAACCACTTTCACTGTGGATCCACCTGGTTCAGTAAAGAACCTGTTTTAAATGATTCGTCAAGTAAGGTACTAAAAATGCCAACTTCAGAGAAGCACAAAGAAAGTTAAGTGGAGTTATTATCCAAACACAAACACAAAGTCGGTCACCATGAGGAGAACAAAGACCCCTAAAACTGTAAATGAACTTGTGGATCTAAACCAAACACTGAATGCATTTGACAGCTCTATGATTTGAGAACCTTTATGTATAAACTATAAACCTAAGACTTTGCATCATTACTGTAACTATAATAAATTCTATACTTTCTAGGCTGTCGGTTAGACAGAACAACGAATTACAAGATACCAACTTGGGATTTGTTAAACTGTGATGGGCATTTCTCATTGTTTTCAAATGTTTTAGAACTGATTGATCGATAAACTGAGAAGATAATCTGCAGAAATAATCCATAATAAAAATAGTTATTAGTTGTAGACTTACTTTCATGCTATTACCTGCCGCTAAATAACTACAATAAAAACAAAGAACCTTTAGTAACTACTTTAAAGAGCCACATAAAGTTACATAAAGAGCCCTCCCCTAAATAAAGAGGTGCTATAACTGGTGATGGTGCTTTGAAGAACCAGAGAGCTTTCTGAAGAACCATTTAAGAACCATTGTGTCTCTGAGAGCGATGGAAGCACGCAGCCCTTAGAGAGAATGAAACTATGCATAACTAATGGAGTCTAAAGCAACAGTCTGGCAATACATTGTACCTTCCAAACTGCTGAGAGTTGACAGTGATTTACAAAGATGTTCATTTAGCTTAAGTCTCATTCTGGAGGCTGCAGCTTTTGGTGTTGTTGAACTTATTAAGTTAGACTGAGAAGTGTTTCTAATATTCAGTTCTACCACTGATGTAAATAGGGGCGACAACGTTTGAGAAATATCTCTCTGTATAATGCAACACAGTATGAAAAGCAGAACATGATTGTCTTATGATTGCATGGGTTGTTGTATTAAACTACATTAGTTTTTTATATAGGCGTCACACATATGTTTAAGCAATAAACGGAAAATCACATGATGTTTTGCTGCTGATTTAGTCCATGACTTCTAACAATCCTGCTTTTCATATCTATAAAGGTACCTGCAGCGGGTTTTTTTTCTTGTTCTCTGGCTTTCTAAAGGTGAATGTTAAATTATGCTTCTACTGTTGTAGGGTTGAAAAATGTCCGTTGGTGAATTTTCAGTGGTGAATCTGATCAAAGTATGTAATCAACTTGTACAGAAACTTCTCAGAAAGCTCATTCAGCCTTTTACACTCCTCAGTATGCTCAGTATGATTATTATTAATGACATATTTGTGAAATGTAGGGAACAGAAGGTAATGACCATATGAATCAACAGTGGGAATGTGGATCATACTCTTTCCCAGTGTCTAGACGTACAGTGTGGACACGCATCTACGTAAAAGGCATTGCCTCAGCTGTACTGTGTTTAGTGCTAGTAAACAAATGCCGGCCTGCTAACACACTTAACTAAAAGCGTCACACTTAATGTGACGCACTAAATATTGTGGTTTTGTTTTCTTCCTCCTGCTAAACTCCAACCAACCAGCACCCAGATACCCGCCAGTCACATTTTTCTGACTAATGAGTCACTGATAGGGCAGAAAACAGCAGCCTGTACACATGGCGTTCAGCACTCCCAGATCCTCCGTCTGCGTTTCCCTCCTTCCATCACAATGAGCCTTCTGTTGTTGTGTGATGAGGCTGGAGCTCCCATAGTAACTCCGCAAGGACAAGCAGACAGGGACAGTGAGTGTGTGAAACACTGTGGCTGTGTCTAATTATATGATGAAGCATCTGTAGACAGAAACTGGGCCTGGATACATTCAAAGGGCAACTTTATGCTCCGCTCACAGCTGACTTCATTCACCAGTAAAGCTCTACAGTAAATGAGAATAGTTGTGTGTCCGATACACTGCACTCACTTTGTGTCTCTTCTGCTCCACAGTTTTCTGTAAACTGTGTGTTGCGTTTCTCTCTGCCTCCCCTCATGTTGATTTACAGCTGAGCTTCTCTCTAAGTGAACTGTTTCCGTTTTTGCAAACACTTAGTGAGGCTTGTCTGTATTTCTTTAACCCAATGTCACACATGTGCGCTGCAAATGTGTGCAGAACCCACATAACCCACAGACCTCATTTAGTCTGATTATTAAGTTCGGGTTTAGTCACATGCCACCTTAACTAAGGACATGTTTGAGTTTACTCAATGCAGTGGGGGGAAAAAAAGGAGATTTTTTTTTTGGCTTATTTTGTTGTTGTAGTTACATAATGCTAAGAAAACAGACAAAACAGGTTATGAACAGGTGTAGAAATTATTGGACATCGTCATAGTATTACCAAGAACTGAAAAAGACAAACACGTAGGGGAGCTGTGTTCCTTCAAAAACACTTACTTTGAGGAAGTGCGGAACTGTTTTTGACGTTTGATAATATTGTTTTAATTATCAACACGGTTTCGGTTTCTGCTTTTTTTTGAGAACTGTGTGATACTGGAAACCTGCATGACATTGCAGCTCGCAATGCAATATGCTCCTAATGCAACGCTGACATTTTATCAACTCACGAATTTGTTAGGGTTGCTTATTTACACATCCAGCAGACGTAGGGCAGGATTAGCATTTGGAGCTGTGTCGCAGGGGGCCCAACACAGTTGATATTTAAGCTCTCTTTAAATTTGTTTTATGCAATGAACCATTACATTCATGAGCTGCTCACTGACAGAACACAATGGATTTATCGCTGCTGGGGACAAAACTGAGGAGAAGCAAAAGCATGAAAACCAAAATAAGCTGAAAGAAGATAAAATGCTCAGCAGCACTGAGGGAAAACGCAATGATAATTCTGGATGTGTCATTTGATTCGAGCTGTTTTAATAACTTGTGATATACTGAGTGCTGAGTGAACTAACAAATAAATAGTTTGAATGTGAAAAGGAAGCTGCAGTGTGACTTGATTAATATTATAAAATAAGTAGTAAATAAACTCGGGCGGCGCGCTGGTGCAGCGGTTAGTGCTGTCGTCCCAAAGTAAAAAGGTTTGACTGCTGCTCAGCCTTTCTGAGTGGAGTTTGCATGTTCATTCCTTCGCTGCATAGATTTTCTCTGAGAGTTTCTATTTCTTCCTAAAGACATTCGGTGTAGGCTGAATCAAGGTGTGAATATGAGCATGCTTAGTATGTGTGTTTATGCTGGCCCTGCAGCAGACTGTTCATTTTGTACCTCACTTCTCACCCAGTGTCAGCTTGAATAGGCTCGAGCCCCCCGCGGTATAAAGTTATACAATTTTAGGCAATTTTGCTTTGCTATTTTTCTTTTTTTTTCTTGCTGTATTTTTTTGAAATGCAATAAAATAATAAAATCACAAAAATAGACCATGAATGAACATGTCAAATGTAAAATAACATTAAAAACACATAGCTGGGAATAATCATAAAATGACATGTTTTTTTTTCAATTTCTTTTTTGACATAACACACTGTTAAAGTGCATTCATGAATTTATAATAATTTCACAGATATTTCTTTTTGTTTAATAGAAAACTGTAAGTGCATTTGTAGAATTACACACAATTCATTACAATTAAAAGAAATGTGTATTAATTATGTATTTTACATAGATTTGTATGTTAAATGAGAGATATCCTGCAAAATTAAAACACTTTTCCAACAAATCTGTTGAAGAATTTTTTTTTATCAGCATATATTATCTAAAAGGATTAGTAATTAGTAGTAACTATCTATCTATCTATCTATCTATCTATCTATCTATCTATCTATCTATCTATCTATCTATCTATCTATCTAGCTATCCTTCATTCCTCATTTAATATGAAAAAAATACAAAAAATACATGTAATCTCATTTAAAATTAAGGTTAGAAAATACAACTTAATTATAGAGATATGACATAGATATTAGAGATATTTCCCATTATTTTCCATTATATATTGTAAATTACTTTTTTTTCCAGTTTGTTTTAGCAACAGTATGATGTTTAAAGGAACAGAATAAATAAATGTTGGATATATAATAGTTTATGCTTTAATATCCCCTCATAGAGGAATACCTGTGGTATAGTGTTAGATGGTAGCTCAGTATAACCAGTTGTGTTTTGGATATGACATGTCATATCAATAGTATGTGTGTTGGCAATAACATGGTCAGCATCTAGTATAATCTATAACATCTATACAGGTGAAATGAAAGAGCAGATGGAATAAAATAGCACATTACTTAAACATTTAAATGTGAGCTTCTGAAATCTACCTGAAATGCAATAACCACTGTTTGTGGTGCAGCCCCCATTTACTAGCAGCGCCACAAGTTTACCGCCTATGTGGTTTATTCAAATGAGGCCTCAAGAGTCTTTCTGCTGTGAATCATTGCGCCACCAGACCCTTGCACGTTTGCTACAGCTCATTCATGCCCTGGGTTTCTGTGATGCTGTCAGCCTAAAGAGCTAACCTGATCAACGCAATGTCTGATCCCAAAAGTTTTTTTTTTTACTTCACAGCAGCCACTCTGACCTCGGTCCACAACCACTGTGGAAAACACAGCTGGGGGGCAGAGCTCACTGTCTGGCAGGGTAAACATGACCGGTGTTACCCATGTCAGCTAGGATTAACATTTACAAAAGAGAGGCTACCACTTCTGCTATCAAATCCACAAGTTGCAATTTATTATATTTAGTAATTAAGAGTGAGAGATCCAAAACTGGAGGCTAATATTCTGCTAAGTTGAAGTGATTTCTATAGGTTCCCCTTAGCCAAACAGAGAAACTGTGTTTCTGGCAAAATGAAGAAGTACCTCAACTGAAGTGTTAAACAATTTCTGAACTTCCCTGTACTTTTTTTCTCTTTTTTTTTTCTTCTTCTCAGCATTCACACACCCACCCAGTTAACACACACACACACACACTATGCTGTCATTGACAAACTTACCGAGAATAAGTAGATCCTTCTCGAACCCCATGTCAAAGGCAAACAATACTCCACCACCACAGATGTTGACTTCCGAAGAATCAGAGCTGTGAATCAACTGTAAATCAGATCCAGTTATTAGAAGTTTAAGTCCACTCACAAAAGTTCAAGAAAGAGTTTTTCTTTTCAGCTTTAGTCCAACTTCCATAAAAATCCACAAAGTAAGAAAAACAAATGAACATTAAAAAAAAAAAAAAAGTATCCCTTCTGTGGAGGATATTTGTATGTGAGGCAGGAAAAACAACAGTGAACCTTCACCAGCTTTCTTCCTCTCAGAGTCAGACTCTCAGTCTGAGCACGCCTCGCTCTCCCTCTGATTCCCCACCCTCCTCTCTCTCTCTCTCTCTCTCTCTCTCTCTCTCTCTCTCTCACTCAGTCAAAGTCTTTTGCTTTCTCTCTCTCTCCCTTTTCCTCTCTTTCACTTATCTGTGCGGCCTTGTCTCACTCACGCCACTCTTTCTTGCTCTTTTCTTTCACTCCATATCTTTCCTCGTGAACACATTTCTCACACTGGCACCGTATCACATTGCTTGCGAACATAAACCCCCCCTCTGTCCACGCCGGCTTTCTCTACGCTCCAGTGGCCTCTATTTCAGGAGCTATTCACAACGCTCTCATGAGAGACAAAAAAAGAGAGGAGGAGGGGGGGGAACCAGAGACTGAAGAGAGGGCGATGACTAACACTCAATCTAAACAGCTGCTGCCGTACTTGAGTTTTGCCAGTAAGTAATCGTATATCCGTTCCCATTCTCCCCCAACTTCTAACTCTGCATCCCCTCCCACTTTTTCCTCCGGTCCCTCTTCAGCCCTTCACCCAGTTTCAGTGACGAACCCTCTGCATTTTTTCAACCCCCCCCCACCAGACTGCAAGAAAACAGACTGGAGACGGATGCAGGATGACCTCTATTAAAGTAAAATCCACTACAAGACCTCAATGATGTGGTTCAGGGGAAAACCCGAGTATATCATTAAAAGGAACTCTACAAACTAATAACATGCAGCTTTGAGCTACATCATTCAACACATATCAAACTCTGTAAAGAAATCGTGTCTTAAACTAGAAGATAAATGAGTACAAAGCCGCGACCTCTGCGACTGAAAAATGAAGGCCATTAAGTGCCAAAAACTGCAGTTCCTCAAACAACCACTTGAGGCTGACTCAAAAAAAACGTTACTCCCTATAGACTCCAATGTTACAATCCCAAACGTACTGCAGAATTTAACATGTTTACAGCCTCGCTTTGCGGTCTTTTAGTTGGTCTTCCCATTTCTGACAATCGCACAGAGGATGATTTTATATAAAACTGTTTACATTGCATTGAGGCTGAAAGAACTATGCAGAATTAAGAGTTTAGCTGCTTTGAGTAACAAGTGGGTGTCATCAGTGTACAGCTCCAGTCATGCTCCACCTCTTCAGTCAGTTTTCGATTATCCAGAAATTAGGAAGAGTCGAGATCAAGTGGAGCCACCACACTGAGCTCCGAAAACCCATCACAAAGGGTTTATCTGTCTTCATATGTAATCACTGGTTACTCTGGTCTTAGTACAGGCCATTTAGTCACAAATATATAAGTCTGATAATGAAAAATGTAGCATCAGACTTTCCATGTCATGTCGCTGTTATTTATTTATTCATTTTTAATAGGTTTTCCCTGATATTTCAACATTACCAGCACACTGATAATGTTTTGTAATGTTATCTTGGCTAACATAATCAGGATTGTGTAATGTCTCAAAGCCAACGAAAAACAGAGCCTCTGGTTTTACTCCCACTGCACCACCTTCCACCACCCACACAAGGGAAATACTGTATAAAAGACATGCTGGTCATGAACGGAGCTTAACTTAACCGGTACCTGCATAAATCAGTCATCAATCTCACAAATTACAATCTTTTACAAGCAAAGTGTATTCTCAATTACATTTTTGAAAACGTGTTTAGTGCCAGATGTTGTTTGTGACGTATCACAAATACATTGAAAATCCAAATATCGTTGCCATTCATTTCTCTGTTTACAATCGTGCATTTCCTGACAATAAATCATGTATCAGATGGGTCGGGACTCATCACCCTGGTAAACCAGAAAATGGAGGAGAAGCTTAATGCATGTTGTGAAAGGCTCATATTTTAACACAAGCTGCTATTTTCCTGAAACCAACCAAGAACTTTCAGTGCTTAAATTTAACCAAGCTTCTAACATGTAGTTATTGTTGTAAAAATGTAAACCAAAGTATGATCATTTCCAAAAATTAATCGTGCGGTTTTGGTGCTTAAACCTACCGAAATAGCAAGTTTAAAAACTGCATATAAAGTGGAAACAAAGCTAAAGTCTGAGAATAAAGGTTCTACGTGGGATATAAAGCTCAGACTCCTGGATGAAAGGATCTGTTGCTGACTAGTGCCTCCATTCTGCCTCCAAATTGGAAACTATTTGAGCCTATATAAAGTATTCACCCCCTTTGGAAGGTTTTCCCTTTTACTGCTTTTCAACATTAAA